AAGTACCTTGAAGCTGTTTCTTCTTAGTTATATTTTAGTCTAGTATACATGTGTATACAAATGAGTAGGCACGTCAGATTATTGTCACTAAACCCGACAAATACCGCCGTATATATTTTCAGAAATATTAAAAAAGATATACCACAGGGTTTTTTATAATCCCAAAAATGGTAATTAAACAGATACTTTATGCTTACTCTCTGAGTTGTAAATATAACCTGTAGATGTTTCTGCCAACTTTTATTTGAATAATCATACTATTGCACACAGCAGTAGTCCATCATACGTAACAAGGTCATTTGGCAGACTTACAATAACTGGATGCACCAGTAAGTAGGTCAAATGTACTACCAGAAATTTGAAGAGGTTCAGATTTGACTTATGTGGAATTGTATTTATAGAAAATGGTAGTAACTGTTACTGTAGTGATTTAAATGTGTTACAGGGAATTTTCACCTTATTTATGTATCTTTGAAGGTTTTTTTTTAACATCCAGTGTCATAATGCTCCCTAGGACTAACACTATCAATTGTGACAATAAGGACATTGTTATTATATAACTGCTCTCATACACATCAATGATGTTATTATTGTCAAGTACAAACACTGTATATACTGCTGTGATAAAGAAATAACTTCTTTGTTTTGTCAGGTACGAGCCCTGTATGACTTTGAAGCAGCAGAAGACAATGAACTGACCTTCAAAACTGGAGAAATTCTCAGCATTCTAGATGACAGGTACCTGCTGTGAACAGTTACATACTTATGTCTTTTAAAAATTGTTACTATTTCTTGATTTACAAAATTCATAAGTCATTCAGATGTATGTACTAAGAAGAGAGTTAAATTGAGAAATTCTACTGTTCTCTACTTCAGTGATCCAAACTGGTGGAAGGGGGTCAGCTACAGGGGCGAGGGCCTCTTTCCCGCCAACTTTGTCACCGCGGACTTAACTGTAGAACCAGAGTCCAGTAAGTGGTCTTGTTAACTGTAGAACCACAGTCTAGTAAGTGGTCTTGTTAACTGTAGAACCAGAGTCCAGTGAGTGGTCTTGTTTACTGTAGAACCAGAGTCCAGTAAGTGGTCTTGTTAACTGTAGAACCACAGTCTAGTAAGTGGTCTTGTTTACTGTAGAACCAGAGTCCAGTAAGTGGTCTTGTTAACTGTAGAACCACAGTCCAGTAAATGGTCTTGTTAACTGTAGAACCACAGTCTAGTAAGTGGTCTTGTTAACTGTAGAACCACAGTCTAATAAGTGGTCTTGTTAACTGTAGAACCAGAGTCCAGTAAGTGGTCTTCTAAATGACTGGAATTAAAAAAAAAGAAAACAAACAAATAAGAGCAAGCTGGGGATTTAAAATCGCCAAGATTGTTACAGCACTAGAGCTGGTCCAGAGAGGATGGTCCAAGGTTGATTATTTAGAGAAAAAAATACTTTACTTAGATGAGATTTTTACAGATTAATCTTATCCTGTGCATCTTTAATTGCCTTTCAGAAATGACAATTTCCATTTGTGTTTTATTTCAGCAAAAGATAAGAAGGTATCATTCAATGAAGATGTAGAAGTGAAAACTATAGAAGTTGCCCCTGAAACAGTAGTTATTGATGAGGTAATCAATCTCTCTCTCTCTTTCTCTCTGCTAAATAGTTAACCACCGTGATGCAAAAATGCCTGTATTTCATGACTAACCTCATATCACAGACTAACCTCATATCATCTTATTGTGTGTTTCAGTCTAAGATGGATGAATGTCTTGACCAGCTCCAGAATGCTGATCCTACAGGCCAGAATAGACCAGACACACAGGAGATGCTGCAACTAGAGGGTAAACTACTGCCACCACACATTGTCTTTGTTCTGGTAGAAACTTAGTCTGTGTTCCATTAAATTTATAGTGTGTTTTCTGTTAGATTCTTAGTGTATATTGTTAGATGCTCAATAAGATTGTGTTATGTCTGTTGTGTTCGATTCTCAGTTTACAGTATTCTCCCATGAAAACGGAAATCTTATCACAGTTTACAATAACAGTGTATTTTCTGTGTTTTAGAAGAGTGCAGGCAGATGGGGCCTCTGATAGACCAGGAACTGGAGCAGATAGACAGGTAAGTCACATCCAGCGCAATCTGCTGTCACACCTAACACAATCTGTTGTCACATCCATCACAATCTGCTGTCTCACCCAGTGCAGTCTACTGTCACTAAAAACATAATCTACAGTCACTTCCAACACAAGCTACTGTCACAACCAACACAATCTGCTGTCACATCTAACACAATCTACAGTCACACCCAACACAATCTACTGTCTCACCCAGTGCAGGCCACTGTCACAACAAACATTATCTACAGTCACACCCAACACAATCTACTGTCACACCCAACACAATCTACTGTCTCACCCAACACAATCTCTTCTGTCACACCCAACACAATCTCCTGTCATACCCAACACAATCTCTTCTGTCACACCAAACAAAATCTAGTGGTACACTTGACATTCTTCCAGGAATCACAATATGTTGATGGAGTTGAACCAGAAAGTCTGTGAGGCTCTGCAGATGTATAACACTCTGATGAATGAAGGGCCTCGCTATAGCTACAAAGGTGCACCGTCTGGACCAAGTGTGCAGGGTTATCAAGGTCAAGGTCCCCCAGGAATGCAGCCACCCCCTCAGGTACAACTAAGAGTAAAGTGGGATGGGGGGGGGTAGTACTGCCCCCCTCAGGTACAACTAAAACTATAAGAACAAAGTTATTTAACAGTCCAAGGGGGGGGGGGATACTTTTTGGGAACAAATGCTGACATTTGAAGCCTTTTTGGAAAACAGAAAAATGTAGATTGTCATTTCAAAGCATTAATTAAAAGATATGATTTTGGCAAGCCAGGTAAAGCTGACAAATGTACAGACAGTGCAACTAGGGTAGGTTGAATACCTCCTGTTTGGTACACAACTCTTTGTTGTTAACATTGATGACTTGTTTGTTTCAGATGTTTGATGGACACCCTGGTTATATCCCACCTGGCTCTCTGCCATCTGTAGGTCAAGGTCACCCCCAAGGTCAAGTGCTCCCTCAAGGTGAAGGTCAGTTACCAAGGCACTCCTCTGATCCTAGATTGAACCAGTATTTAGGCAATCAACTTGAACCACAATCTTTTTCCAGGTAAGTCAACTCTCTTTACCTAATCTGTTGTCACTCCCAACACAATCTACTGTCTCACCCAACACAATCTACTGTCACACCCAACACAATCTACTGTCACACCCAACACAATCTACAGTCACATCCAACACAGCTACATACACACTATATCTTTACATCTAAACAATATTCTTCTTATCATGGGACATGATAAATAAAATATATGACATACACACTATATCTTTACATCTAAACAATATTCTTCTTATCATGGGACATGATAAATAAAATATATGACCTGCACTGTGTATCTCTTTGTTTATCAACTCAGTAGCTTTTCCACAAGTGAACTAGAAGTTTATCTACTCTGTGAATGCAATGTGTTGTTTTTACACTTAGTACTTTGAACCTCTTGTCTGCACCATTGCTATAACTTGTCAGAAAGGCACCATCATTGCCTAGAATTCATTTACGTCAAGTTCTTCATTCTCTCCAGTTTACCAGCAAACTTTGGATAGCCAACTTGAATTCATCTACGGTCTACCTCTATTTCTTCATTCTTTCCAGTTTACCAGCAAACTTTGGCCAGCAGGCTTCATCCTACAGTGCAACTACCATGAATTCCCTTCCACAAATCAGTGCAATGACAGCGCCACCTGGTGGCTATATGGGTGGGCCACCAAACAGTGTCAATAGTCCACTATATCAGCAGCCACAGCAACAACCACTCTTATAGGAAACCTAGATGTTAACATACCATGGACATAACTTCTACCTAGGGGATTACCCCTGGCCTTCAGTTCATGTGCTTTTGATTTGGATGTCTACGACACACTGCGCCCTGCTTTATGTCAAGAATTCCTTCAGGACCACAGTTCCAGTACTGAAGTGTAAACTCATTGTAGGGAATGGATATTTCAAATTCATACTGCCTCCATAGTGTTGATTAGTGAAAAAGGACACATAATTACTGTCATAGTTGTCGGTGGTGCCTAAAATACTGCATCCCTTTAATTTATCTGCACACTTTTGACATAAGGTTATAAACCAGCCTTCAGTCTGAAGTCTTTATTACAAGTTGTCTTCACCCGCTGTCCTTGGCTTCTAGAGCAGTAACAAGGCACAGGTGGTCAGGAGTGCTGTGATGCTGGGTTGTATGTCAGTTGTTGTGAATTGTGTTCATTTTGTACATAGCTTGTAGTTGGGAGCTCTCTGCTCTGACCTTGACCTTGGCCAGGGTTGAGGGCATACAGCAGTCCACACAGGTGACACACACGATGTAATATATTAAATAGGTGTATATTAAATTAATGTATATAAAATTGAAAGAGAAAATTAAAAGTGGAGACGAGTGAAGAAATGTTATTAGTTTTAGAAAAATTTGCTTGCATCATGGGATCTTGTTTGCAAACAAATGGTTTAAAAACACTTGTAATTTGAAGGTCTTCTGAAGGAGCTTCTAAATTTCTGATTAATTAAGTCTTGATTGTGTGAAGTTCAACATAAATGTGGAAGCTAACATCCCAAGGTGACCCAGTAGATAGACCGATACTATTAGCTGGAAGGGTCATTTTACTGACAGGAGTATTCAGTTCTAACAAGTTTTACTAATTTTTAAAATATCATAAAACTTTTTGTAATTTATCTTGACACTAATTAAGTAAAACAGGTGCCCCTTTACATTAATTTTCCTTTAATCAGTGTTTTTCTTCAGTGACCTAAGATTTCATTATCCCATCTTAAATCAGTCTGCTGTTCACAGTTATATACACATTTTCTAGAAACATCTTCCCCCTTCCTCTTTACTGACCAAAATCACTTGCAACTCAATAAAAACAAACCTGTCTAGAACCAGTATATATATTGATGTACATTTATTCTTCACATATTCTAATAAAGTCTTTCAACAGAACAGATCAATTTGTTTGTCTCTCTTTTTTAAGAGAAAATAATATTAAAGTCATTCTGGCAGTTCTTCACTGTTCATCAAGTTTCTCTACTTTAATGGTTACAATAAGCAGAACCTGTTTTCTGTTCTGTAACATACTTTGATGATCTCCAGCATTTCTACCCAGCTGTCTGACAACACACTTCAAACAGCTCCATATAATCTCTGGCACTAGCCAAAGTTACAGTGAGGATATTCACATGACTTATTTTGTCCTCTCTCCATTTACTTGAACACCACAGTATGTAGCATGGATCCCAGGCACTGGACAATATTACTAGACATCAGAACACTGACATGTTCCTCTAGATGACGCTTAGGATCCTGAAACAGAACATAGAACATGTGTACAATATTACTAGACATCAGAACACTGACATGTTCCTCTAGATGACACTTAGGATCCTGAAACAGAACATAGAACATGTCTACAATATTACTAGACATCAGAACACTGACATGTTCCTCTAGATGACGCTTAGGATCCTGAAACAGAACATAGAACATGTCTACAATATTACTAGACATCAGAACACTGACATGTTCCTCTAGATGACGCTTAGGATCCTGAAACAGAACATAGAACATGTCTACAATATTACTAGACATCAGAACACTGACATGTTCCTCTAGATGACGCTTAGGATCCTGAAACAGAACATAGAACATGTCTACAATATTACTAGACATCTAGATGACACTTAGGATCCTGGAACAGAACATAAAACATGTCTACAATATTACTAGACATCTAGATGACACTTAGGATCCTGAAACAGAACATAGAACATGTCTACAATATTACTAGACATCTAGATGACACTTAGGATCCTGAAACAGAACACAGAACATGTCTACTCTACAATATTACTAGACACCTAGATGACACTTTAGGATCCTGAAAAGGAACAGAACAAATACCATGTGACAGCTAAGTTTTTTGTCCCCTTAGTCCAAAAAGAGCTGCTTAACAACTATATAGGCATATTCAACTCGTTGATTTTAGTTCACATACAAATGTTCTCTCTCTCCAGACTAAGACTCAAGCCATTTTGCCAATGGCAAAATCATGAAATCACTTTACTTTTATACCGTTTACAATTGCAACACTCAATGTCACAAGATAGTATTCTTTAAATTGACTCCTATTGCCTGGCCAACTTACAGAAATGATAAGAAAAAGTGCTTTTCCACATGTTTAAATAATGGCAAGGAATATGAAGTCAATAGACCAAAGAGTAATTACCTTAGGACATATAGAGTTTATAACATACCAAGTATTTACACATGCAAATGTGAAATGGAATGCTCATTATTTTTCCATGTATTTTCCAGCCAGACATAGACTATAAAAGTGAATTCAGTTTGTACCTGTTTTCCAACATTCTTAATGGCCAACTGTTCCTGTGTCATAGATTCTTCCTCCTCCAGAGCCTGAAAGAAGACATACAGACATGGATGTATCTGAAGTAACAGCAATATAACATATATAACAATAATCTTTATTGAAACATCGCAACCCGAAGGTTGAATTTATACACTTTTTTATTTATCTATTAATTATTATTTTTTTTTATCTATTTTTTTTTTTTTTATTTTAAGTCAGAGATCCCTGGTCATTTATGGCCCTGTTGCACACACTATATTCGTTCTCGCCTCCCTGGGGAGGATACAGCCCGGCTGCCATATTAGGCGCTCAAAGCTAACAAACTAACAACCATCTTTCCACTGCCAGACCAGGACCCTGCTTCAACCCCTTAGTGCTGAGTGCCAAGCAGGGAGACGGCAGGTACCGTTTATAAAGGACTGGTATGTCCCCGGCCGGGATTTGAACCCACGTCCTCCCGCTCCGGAGGCGGACACTCTAACCACAAGGCCATACATACTCTCCATACATACATACATACATACATACATACACACATATACTGGTTGTAGTATGCATCTGTATGTGTAGTTCTAGCAGCACCATACCTTGTTATAATTTTTGACCAGTTCTAGCAGCACCATACCTTGTTATAATTTTTGACCAATTCTAGCAGCACCATACCTTGTTATAATTTTTGACTAATTCTAGCAGCACCATACCTTTGTTATAATTTTTGACCAATTCTAGCAGCACCATACCTTGTTATAATTTTTGGCCAGTTCCAGCATATCTTTCACAATCTTTTCATTGACTCCACAGTGAGTGTTGTAGTCATCCAGGGAAAGGCCGTCTATCCAACTTTTCTTGTGTAGATTTAATAACATCTAAAACAGGATGCAACAAAATATAGAAAACTAATCAACTATGATACATAGTAACGAAGTAGCCTGTACACTGTAACTATTAAACTAACTGCTGGTGGCTACTATATCAAAGAATTTGAAAAATTCTAACACTGACAGTAATGTTATGTATCCCTGTCTTCCAGCGTGACTCACTTTTTGTTCCAGTTCATTCTTCCTGTAGTTTATAGCTATGGAGTAATAATGTCTGTTTAAACCATGGATTAAAGCCTGGAAGCAAAGAAAAAGTTGCATGTCAACAAATTGTTTCTGGAAGAACAACAGAATCAACAGTAATGAATGTAGACACTTTCTGCACTGAAATCACAGTCTAGAATATGTGTAAAACTGCTAGAAAGATGACACTGTATGTTTAAACACTGATTTAATATATATATATATATATATATATATATATACAAAGGTTTCTGGTAACTTATCTCTAAAGATGGTTTGTTAAGATGGCCAAGGTTGAAGGTGGTTTGTCTGGTATGTGATAACTTACCTGTATAGATGGTTTGTTAAGATTGCCAAGGTTGGAGGTGGTTTGTCTGGTATGTGATAACTTACCTGTATAGATGGTTTGTTAAGATGGCCAAGGTTGGAGGTGGTTTGTCTGGTATGTGATAACTTACCTGTATAGATGGTTTGTTAAGATGGTCAAGGTTGGAGGTAGTTTGTCTGGTATGTGATAACTTACCTGTATAGATGGTTTGTTAAGATGGCCAAGGTTGGAGGTGGTTTGTCTGGTATGTGATAACTTACCTGTATAGATGGTTTGTTAAGATGGCCAAGGTTGGAGGTGGTTTGTCTTGGTTCCTGTCCTAGGACCATCATATTGGGGTTGATGAGACGGAAAGCATCTATAACAACCTGGAACAATGGAACTACTATCAATATCAAGGACATATTTATAACAGGGAACATAAGCCAAAATGTCTAGTGCAGCAAACACTGCTGTTTTGTTCAGTGGTGTAAATGTGACAATCACTGGTTGTCCTAGACATAGTAATGTCAAGCATGGAAAGTTAGTATTCACCAGATACCTCTAAAAATTAATCCCATTATGCATATAAAGGCTGAATAGAGAATTGTTAACTGTGACCAAGGGAGGGATGTTGGTGTTCCATGTGTACAGTGTCCCAGTGTTAACTGTGACCAGGGGAGGGATGTTGGTGTTCCATGTGTGAAGTGTCCCAGTGTTAACTGTGACCAAGGGAGGGATGTTGGTGTCCCATGTGTGCAGTGTTAACTGTGACCAAGGGAGGGATGTTGGTGTCCCATGTGGGCAGTGCCCCGGTGTTAACTGTGACCAAGGAAGGGATGTTGGTGTCCCATGTGTGCAGTGTCCCAGTGATAACCGTGACCAAGGGAGGGATGTTGGTGTCCCATGTGT